GGTGTTAATAAGAGCAGGAGTTGCCACAGTTTCCTAAGGAATTGAGACCAGAAAAAAAACAATGTTCAGAGTGCGGGAGGGGAGAAGTTACAGTTCTCGTGTTTTTTCATAATAGTTAGGGAGTGCAGTGTGTTATTATGGAAATAATCTAGGTTTAACCTAGGACTTGACCAATTTGTTAAGAATGGTTTAAAAATAACAAACTGTTGGGCAATTATATGCATGGGTACACTCATGACCCATACCTTCAAATATAACTGATTCCAAATACATACTTGATGCTTCATTATGATTAATCTTCATTTTTAGTAACAGTGTTTTGGTACTGTTTTCATGTGGATAAGTGTTAAGATTTTGTAGGATTTGGGTTTCAGAAAGTTTTGACCATCTTTCACGTTGTTAAGCTTGCACTTATTTATTGTGTTTCTCAAGAGCATGGACTAAAGTCTGGAAGAAGAAGAGGTGTCATGATCAGGTGTTTGAACTGGGGACTCTTGCTGAACAGGGAAAGATGATGAAATAATTAGCAAAATGGGTTTAGTTGGATAATGTGGAACACAGTTATCCATACTAAAAAGAAATGTTTATGTTTGCTTGCATTTTACTGTGAACTAGTTAACTTGTGACCTGTGGAACAAGGTGACATTTGGAAAAGTGAGCTATGAATTCACCTCCCTACAAGTACTTTTTTCATAGAACAAACCTTCTGTAAACTAATTCCAGAGTGAAAAGTCATGAATTCCTAGCATCTGTTTTGCTTATGACTTAATTACGACTTGTATTTTCAAAATGTTTTACTACCTGTAACTGGAATCCATTTTTATTAGAGTACAGTTTCTGTTTAAATACTTATATGAAGTAGCTAGATTGATAATATTTAAAAATTGTAAGTACTAACTAAAATTTGTGTATGTTACCTACTTTTGAAGTGTGGTTGCTTTATTGAGGTAACTAAATGAGTACTTTCTCCTGAAACTGCTGCGTTTGTATATAAAGTAATGAATTTGTGTTCTGTGCTCTTCTGAAAATGTGTCCAACTTCCTTATTATCCCATTACTTATCTCAAACTTGTTTGTGTGTGCTATGTCTTGCCATGTCTTTTCCTTTCAAGCTTCTAGTAAACAAAACTTTTGAGATAAAACTTGGGTAAAAGCATTCAAAGAATTTTCAGAGCTCAGTGAATATTTTATGTATTTAGTGTCACAACTTGCAAAACGTTTCTTCTCCAGTGCATCAGATGTGTACAAGACCACCTCTTCTGGCCACATTTAGGAAAAAAAGCATACAAAGTTTTGTAAAAATGTCTAGAATTTGAATATGAAGAACAGTTTGTGTTGATGCTAATTCTTCTCCTTGATTAGTTTATAGTTTGGAACTGAAACAATCCTTGGTTTACAGGAAGAATGTTAGTTTCATTTGCTGCCTCCTCATTTTATCTTACGCTGATAAATAAAACCAAATAATCGTATCTTGTTATAAAATTACTGTATTGTCATAGAAAAATTGTTTTTAATCAATGTAGTAATAAACAAATGCTTTGATTGATGTAGCCTATCATAACAGTCATACAGCAACACAACTCTGTGTTACTATAAGGAGTAAGATTCAAAAGACTCTTAATTTAGGCTCAGCCCAGCAAATACATGTATGCAAGAGTTCATGGTTTTGAGGTCTCTTGTTATTTCTGACTTGACATTGATGGGAATACTGAAATAGGTGATGTGCTCCGTAGCACAAAAGTCAGTTCAGATGTACCGCTTAGCGAATCCCTTCACTTGATTCATTAGGAACTCTGAAGGCTTAATTTGAAAACCTTTTTATGTCTAGGTGGTAATAAGCATAAGGGGGCCTAAAAACTGAACAGAGAAACTGAATAAAAAATAATTTAAAGTGTCTCTTTGGTTTCATAAAGAATTTGATGCATCAGTGATCTGGGTTGCAGAATTACTCTTTGCTACATCATTGGTGATACAAAGGTGGTGTGGATCAAAGCAAAAAGGCCTGCGGTGCAAGAATCTCTTACGCACGTGCACACACGCGCACAGATGTATGTGGTTCATGTAGGAACTTACTATTTACAGACAATGCATGCTGTAGGGTAGTTACAGGTGTTGGGAAATATATTTGTCGTATTCAAAGTCAAGATTCTGTTGAAAGCTTTATTTATATTCATGTGAATCGTTGATCTTTTTTGAACTAGTAGTAGATTTTAGTGATTCAACTGCAAAGGAGATTGAATGATTAAAATTGCCATGAGGTGAAATGCGGTTAAAATAAAAATATCTTAATCAGCATTATTTTACAGTGATCACTTAATCAGGAAGAAAGTGAAGATGATTGTAGTTGAGAAATAGAGTGCCGGATCTGGTGCATGGTTAGGTACTTAAGCATTATGATATGGTCTTTATCCTCAAGTGGGCCAAATCAAGTTTATTATAGGCAATTTACATTCTAATGGCACTGAACTTTGAAATGATTAATTATTTTTAAATTTTAATTATGTTTTAAGGTAACTCTGAAAGAGTGCTGAAGTTCTAAGATCTTTGAAGATCTTTTTAAGGAGTGCTGTTAGTTTAATAAAGGAATATTGTTATAATTTCCTAAAATGTAGAGAAACTGGGAAGAGTTCTTGAAATGTGACTTAACATCACATTTTTTAGAATTACTGTCTTTTTATCATTTTGTCAGTGAAAAAAAAAAAAAACCCAGACAATAAAGAATATGTTCAATTGCATTGCCCAGCATGAATAAAAGGAGCAAGCAAATGAGTAGTTTGCAGTTCTTACAGCAGAAATAATACAGGGTGGTGGCATTAAAATGGTGTGAGATGTGTGTGGAGTGGAAGCTTAAGCTGCGGAGGTAGAAAAATTTCTCTGGCCATGGGAAGGGTATTTTGTTTTCTCCTTTTGTGACTGGGAACTTCAAATTTGAGTAAAAAGCAGTCCTAGGGACTGCAGTAGTGTATCTCTGTTTTTCGTTGCACTTATAGTGGCTTAACAGTCAGAAGCAGCATTTTACTGTGATGTATTAATGAAGTGCAATACGATGTATTTTCTTACTTTTACTAATTTCAGAGTAACACATAGGATATATCAGACGGTGTAAAACTAATGCAGGCAGTGTTCAAAAGTAACTTTTTCTTTATTTGGATCACAAATGCTAATTTAAAAATGTATCTAATGACAATGGTTACTTCTAAAGAAAATTTTTAAAAATATGACTGGAAAATGTGTGTTATTTTAACGTAGGCAAAATTCTTCCCACATAGTAAGTTCTTACTCACTATAGTTTTTAATATTTCCATTTGACTTACATTATATCAAAGTAATTCTTGCTTTTATGAATTTTGAACTTCATTTTAATGTTTGAACTTCAATTTAATGTTGGGTATAGGTCATGAATGCAGGACTTCATATAACATCTTTCATTTCAAATGTGTTGTCCATAAAGGCAGAATTAGGAGTGTAATTGTGTGTATTCGTATGATACTCGCTACCCAGAGTTCTCTAGTCCTGACTGGGACTTTTGAGATCTGTTGCAATGCAAATACAAACAGTAGTGTCATAGAATCATTTCGGTTGGAAAAGACCTTCAAGATCATAGAGTCCGACCGTAAACGTAACACTGCCAAGTCCACCATTAAACCATGTCCACTTCAGAGGAGACGTGAGAGAAATTGTCTTTATTTCCTCTTTTATTTGTCTCCTGTGGATACACAGATTTTAATCTGGACTGCAAACTGGTGGCTTTCACTAGTATTTTGTTGACATTGTTGAATTTTTCTTAGGAATTAAAAGATCAGACTTGTTTGTAAGGAAATCTTAAATTGGTGAAGAATTTTGAGAGAAGGAATAATGCTAATGGACATAGGCGGAATAATGTGAAATGGTTCTTCAAAAAATAGTAAAATAAAAACTTGTGAAGAAAATACTCAGGGTAGCTGATGTTTTCTATCCCCCAAAATCACTTGGGCAGGAGTCTGAATAGCTCTCTCTTAGTGATGCTATCAGCAAAACCTGCTGTATATGACGTGCTTATGAGCAGTTTTATGCCATTTAAAGAGGAAACAAAGTATATTGTTGCATGATATGTCAGTTCATATGGTGGGTGCTTGCCTGCGACATCCTGCGGAAGAATTTGCCTGCTGTTAGAGCTCGGCTACATTACTAGCCTTCTGCTCTAAGGCCCTTGCGTCTTGCTGGGAAGTGTCTGCAATGATTTGCAGTGAATTTGGGGGTAAAAGCACCATGATGGAGGAGTGAGAGACAGGACTCAAATGATTCATGTGCTGTGTGAGACTTGACAGGTGTGCATTTTGACAAGTTCTGAGCGTGAGTATATGCTACAAATACATGGCTACACAAACAAGAGTCATTTTAGAGGAGGACAGTTTGTGGAGGGTCTGCTCACGTCCCTTCTCACAAAGCTTAGAGCATATCCTTTAACTAATTAAAAGAGATTAAAAGTGCTTTCAGTTTTACAGAGCTCTTACAGTTCTTCTTTCCTCAAAAATGAAAATGAATAATGTTAGTTGCTCAAGTAAGGCATAGTGAAACTCGCAGTATCAGCAAAAAATCAGATGTCTGACCTCAGTATATTTGCTTTATATAGATGACTGTAAAAACAGTTTTTTCCTTTTAATTAAAATTTTAAAGTAAAAGGAAGGCAGGCTGATGTTGTGTAGCTCAAGTCCTTGTTTGTTAGGCGCAATTTAATGAAAAGTAAAGGTACTAAAGACTAGTGGTGGTAAAAGGAGAAAGGAAATGCATTAGGGAATTTGAGAAAGTATGGTGGCAGGGCATCATCACCAAAACTGGGACTTTGGAAGAGACACTCCAGCTGGGTAGACCAGATTTTAAAGAAAAAGTCAGAAATCTGAGAAGTAGCAGAAATTTGTCTGAGATGGTGGCTTCTGTCACCAGCAGAGCTACGGGATGGTGGCCTGGAGGTAAAAAGAGATAGACGTGAACAGACAGATATAAGAAGTAGGCGAGGTACGGATGTGGAGAAAACTGAGGATGCTGTGGGCAGAAACCATCAGGTGTGGTGGCAAAGCTGTGTGGGGACAGGGCAGAGTGATACTGGATGACGAGTCTTGTGGGAGGGCTCAGGACCAAATAGTTGAGAAGGAAAACATTGGGATGAGGAGTCACAGCAAGGAAGAGGCAAAACTGGATCTTGTATTTGGGAGAGGCAAGAGAAGGGAGTGTAAGGCAGGCTGCAGTAGTAGACAGATGTTTTGAGTATCCCTTAAAATCCTTCTTTCTCCAGCTTCAGAAATGGAACAGGAGATTCCTAAAGTGGTGTGAAATACCTGGGAAACTGAGCATAGGGCTTCATTGGTGCTGGTCCATGCAAAAAGCAACAACCTGCAGCACTGGTCCTTTAGTCATGGAGGATCATGTACTAGATGCCTGTGTTCTGTGGACCGAAGTTGCTAGCTTTCTTCTGGTAAAACACTTCTGTGTTATTACAGTATGTAGCAGAATTTCTAGAGAGGATTAATTTTTGTTTTTTAAATGAGAGGATTGTTTGAATTATATATATTAAACAATTCTTTAATTAAGGATGTAAACCCATAAATGCGGAACAAAGGAAATGACAGAATTCATGATGCCTCCACAACTACCTTGGGAGAGTACATATTACAGGCTTCCGTTGTGGTCACAAAATACCTGTTTTTTTAGAGTGGAGAGCTGTTACTTGACAGGCACTCATTCTTCCCCCCTGAAGTTTGCTGTGTGGTTGCACACGCTTTGTTTATTGCATAACACTCAATTTTTTTTCTCTGATATTCATCAACACATAATCTTTCACAAACAGTAAAATAGGATTTTTGAAGAGCCTAGTCAGATTACATGGTGATATCTCTATTTTGCATAATAAAAAGTAATGCATAACGCATTGAGGGACTAATACTTTTACTTAAAGTATTCATTTTTGATGCCTGGTTTATTTTGATTTTTTCAGAACATACAGTAATTCTAAACACTGGTCTGATTTATTTTATTTACAGCTTAAATGTTCAGCATTTTTTGGCAGTCAAAGACCAGAATATTGAGTTGCATGTCAGATACTGGGGAATGCGAAGTTTAAGCTTGACTGTCTGAAGTGTGTTTTTAATTGACTTGTCTCCAGCTCTGTGACAGCATGAGGGATGGAGTCTAAGCAGTGTTCCACTTTATAAGTGTAAGACCACCTTTCTCCTCCTCTTTTGTTAGCCTTTCAGGTTTTTTAAATATCACAAAACTTTTTTTCTGTCTGCTCTTGATTTGCTCCCACAGCATTTCCACCCTCTTTACTAGGTGGAACAGGAGTCCTATAGTAAAGATTTTACTGACAGTGCTACAAGAATTGCATCAGAATTCCAACGCACAGCAGGATGAATTAAAGTTCAATATTTCACTTTGCTGCTAGTATAATAATATTTAAACATAGGGTGGTTTACTGAAATTCTTGTGACGAGAAAGAATGGTAATATAAAAAAATAATGGCCATATCTTGATGTGGTATGGAAGTGTTGCCCAGATTTGCAGTGGGTGTTTCATGAATGCAGGGATTATTTTTGATCTGAGTCTGGGGAGGGGAAGAAACAGAACTACTCTTGTATGTTTGGGAAAGATACTTTATTTCTCTCATTTTAAAGCTCCTGTTGAAGAATCTTTTGTGGTAGCTGTAGCCAAAGATGGCTGGATGATCTCCACTTGACCTAGATGAGAACAGATTACTTCCCCCCCCTCCAAGATGAATAGGATCCAGAATATTGTGTCTGTCTCTACCATAGTGCAGGAATTTGTGGACATGCTTCTCATTCTTGGAAAATGCCAGATTCTTAGCTTGTAGTTACAGATGTTGGCACTTAACTGTTCATCAGGAAAAACATGTTAAAAATGTTCTGAGGGAGTGAAAACTGAATCTTAACTGTTAAAAGTGAGAAGGGTATTTGTGCCTTATTTTTTACGTTGCCTTAACTAATGGTCTGTGGTTCAGCTGCTATCGCTGTCAACTACAGTGTTTTGCCCCTGGTTTCCTCCAGAGAGTTGGCAGCAACTGCAACAAAGCTTTCTTGTGGTGCTTTGCCAGTCTTAGGTGGGTGGAGAGGAGAGATTTCTTTTCCGTCTCCTCTCAATTAAATTAGGCTTTAAGCAACTCTGTCTTGCTGATTGTCAATTATTTCTCCTTTGTTTTGAGAAATACTGTTTATTTTGGGAGGAGTATTCTCTCACACCTCCTTTCTGGAGTTTTTTGAAACCTCCAGTTATGGTCTGTCTTAACTCAGAAATGCTATTTACACATTTCATAATCACAGCTGATAGAAGCCAGTGGAAAATAAATACTTTGGGTTTGGACTGAGCCTCTAAAATAAAAACACTTGTTAAATTCCTTCCAGGAATTTAGCAGAAATTTCAAAACTGCAGAATGCTTTTAAAAACAAAGCTATTGATGTATTATTCTGCTTTGTTCTTTGTTTTTTAAATTTTTTATTTTTTCAAGGACAGCGTTAGGAACAATTGGAGATCCTTCTGGTATTCAGTGAAGCGACAATCTCTTAGGTTATGTAGTTTTCATCGTGTGCATGGGAAAGCTCTGTATGAATTTTTATAATTAACTAGTGAAGGAAAGGAAAGGAAAAAAAAACTTGTCTTGAAGTGGCAAGCAGCTAGTTTCCCATGGCATTGTTTTCTTTTCCAATCTATTTCCTTCATACTTAACTTTCACCATTGCTGTTGACAATTCTGGTGGATACAGCTTTTAATTTCTGTATCTTTGGCATGACACGGTATTTTACACTGGACAATGCAGTGGGCAGAAGGCTGGGTTTGCTATGTGATAACCTGAATCACTAAGGAAGCACATTTTGTAATTCCTTTGGGAAGTAAGAAGTGGATATCTTACTGAGACCTGCCAGTTGAGGATACAGTCTTCCATTTGAGGAGAGTTAGCCACCCTGTTTATTCAAAAAGCAACTATGGCATCAGTGAGATACCAAGAGGTGTCTGAATTTCAGGGCTAGCCCTCCCAAAGCTTTGCAGAGAGAACCTGGGAGCTGGAGGGAGAGTGAGCAAGGCAGGAGCATGAGACTAACTTTGCAAATAAAGCATCCAGTACTGCTGGTTTATTATTTTGACGTTGTTTGGTATCACATGTGTAGTCACAGTACTACACTGTATTGGGCTATCAACATGTCGGTGTCCTCCCTGTGTCAGCTCTTCAGGAGATGGACTTTTGTCTCCAAGAGTTTAACAAGTAAACCCCTTGGTATTAAACGTGTTGTAAGTAATGCTAGTAACTGCTTCCACCGCATAAACATGATCAACAGACTGTTGAAGCTCAATGTCACTAGTGCAGAACCCATTGTTTTGCCTCTCTTCTGCTGGACAGTTGTTGTAATAAAATCCTCCATTTTCAGGGCCATGGCATAGAACGTATGCTCTTCTGTATGCCTGGCTTGGCAGCTGGAGTCCTGCTGACTGTTTTTCTATGTGCTTAACATGTTACTTCAGGTGGAGTTCTAGTCAAATTTCAACTGGAAAAAATCTAAATTTCAAACACTTGTAGAATTCTCCTTTTACTGATTTTTATCGTTTGAGTGCATTATAAGCATAAATGGAATGAATGGCTAGAACATAAAATGTGGGGAAAGACCCACAGAGACTTAAATAACTTGAAGGAATAGTCATGACAGGTTCACCCTGTTTGAAAAAAACAGCTTGGCTTACTACTTCAGTACATTGGTTACCCCTGAGGGTGAATTGGGAGATTGTTTTTTTTTCTTGCCATGTGTAACTGATCAAATTATGTGCAAGAAATCTTGCCAAGAGGGTGATGGTGCAGTTTTCCCAGGCAGGGTAAGATCAGAAATATTGGCCAGGTGGGGTGGTTAATGTTTTTGTAGAACAGTTTTTATAGGTAAAGTCTTATCTATCCATCACCTCCATGGTGATTGATAGCAACATAGAATATTTTTCAGAGTAATCTCATCCACAGACTCTATGTATGACTTGTCAGTTTGTGGCCTTAGAGAACATACTGGCAAATTTGAAAGTTTTATATAATGAACTTTGGTT